GCGGCGGCGGCGCAGGGGGGGAGGCAGCCAGTCCATGAGGGGAGCTGGTTTTTAAACTGGCTCCCCTCATGGATCTTCTCCTGCCTGGCATCTTGTGCTGCTGCCTCTAACACAGAGGGAGCAGTGCAGAGTGACAAGGGGCTCCCTCGGGAGTAGGGCTGGAGTACACTGGCTGCTGGCCCCACCCCGAAGACTATAGAATAGTCAACTGACCAATAAGAATTCATGAGATTACTCAACTATTCAATATTTAACATCCCTAGTAGGAAGGGGCAGCCTTACATGGATGCTGGAGCAGCCCCTGCCCGCAGAGTGTATGGGCCTTCCACAGGCAGGAGCTGCTCTGACATCCCAGCCAGAGCAGACCCTACCTCTGGTGGAGGGGGAGGTGTCATTCCAGCTTAGCAAAGGACATGGGGGCTGCTCCAGCTGCTCACCCCCCCTCTAATCAGTTAACCAATATGTTTAAACAGTTAGACAGTTAAATAGGATTTTACATTCCTAGTTACAAACTCCTGTGGCCATTCCCAGGGGACATACCTCCTCACTAGGAGCCAGGACTTCACTGCACACATAGCAGATGTCTCACTGCCAACCAGGGATGGAGTGTGTGAACCTCAAAGCCAACAAGCTTGAAAGAAAAATGTAACATCTTATTACCTGTATGTGTTCTTAGATGTTTCTTTAACTGAGCTGCATCCATGAATTTGCGATGACACTGGATACATTCCGGCAACGAATGGCCTTGTCGCAATAATAAAAAAAGTGTCAGTGCATAAGTGATCCACTGTATTTCTTCAGTGATCTTTGTTAAAGCACTTCCCTGTAAAATAACCACTTTTATATACAAAGACAACAATGATTCAGTAGTTATTTCTGTTGCTGATCAACTCTAGAAATGGCAGCATCATTCTAATTCATTTCCCCAGTTATTTTCATCATTGAAGAAAGTATGCTGGTTGCCTTAACTCCTGGTCCCCATCAGGAATCTATCACTTCTTTTTGTTTTTAGTGCTGTGATATTCTTTAATTCGCCTTCACTGTACATGCCTATGAGCCATCCATCATCCTTCTAGAATAAACCTAGGGACTTCTTTTAAAGCTTATCAATACCATTCAGCCAGAGAAGTAGCTGAACACCACAAGGCAGAATATCCACAACAGACAGTGATGGTACTATTTTTACACCACTCAGCTCATCTCTAGTGCAAGAGACCACGTGACAGCCTAACTGATCATGGTTCCCGGCAAAGCCAGGAAGCCCGCTCACCCTTTCACACCAGCCTTGTTATACCTGTGTGCACTCGGTAATGACTCTTCAGTTGTCTCTTTTGGCTAAAATACTTTCCACACTGATCACATGTAAAAGCCTTCTGTCCTGTAATAAAAATCAATATCCTTAAAAATACAGAGAATTAAATACCAAAAATTAAGATAAAACATAACTAACATTTTTGCACAACTCCATATATCAGATAGCTAATACTTGCTCTAAAAAAAGAATACAGAGCAGAAATTTTTTTTTGAAATGTCGAATACTTAGCATAACTTGATTATATTTGTCTTGGATTACTTACCCGTATGTAGGCTCATGTGTTCCAAAAGAGAATGTTTAGTTGTTAAAGCCTTACTACAGACAGTACAGGTATATGGTCGCTCTCCAGTATGCATCCGTTCATGAACTTGAAGAGAGTGCTTCTGGGAAAAACCTTTACCACATTCATTGCATTTAAAAGGGCGTTCTCCTAAAAGTAAAGTACAAATATCAACAACAGGGTTATTATCAGTAAATATTTTAAGTCGATAGCAAGATGTGTTAAAGAACATTACCACCATTAAAAAATGAGTTTTCAATAGACAAGGAGGATTAACACGGACAAAAATCTAAGCTTCCTTACAACAATCATTCAAAAATTATTTTGTAAGTATCATTGCATAGGCACTATTATATCCAATTTAATATTTGTATTTAAAAAAACCAATTAACTTGATAGCAGCGTGTAAACTATGAAGTTTATAATAATCTCAGAAGGTGAGAATAGTAGAAAAAAATCTTGATTCACCATATATAGCGTGTGTATACCAATATAAAGCAACATTTAAATGTACAGTAAACTTCCGATAATCCGGCACCTTTAGGACCCAGGGGGTGCCAGATTATCAGATTTGCCGGACTATCGGAAGGGGGGGCTATGAGGGGTCTGGGGGGATGCCACCCCAGACCCCTCATAGCCCCCCCTTCCGATAGTCTGGCTCTGCCCCAGGCATCCCTGATTCAGCCGCTGCTGGGCAGTTTCAGCA